AATGCAGAGTAGCTCAGGCTGGCCTCCAATTCTAGATCATTCTCTCCAGATGCTCACGTCCTGGAAGGATAAGCACACACCATCACTGCCCTCTTGTTGTCTCTTGCCTTAGAGAATAAGACATCTTCAGCTTCCTCTGTACTTCTAAGAATTGACTCCTCTATTAGCACAAACATGCACTAGATAGACAGGCAGTAAGTAGGCTTTTAGGTTGAGAAAAAAAAGTGATTAGAAAAGTTTTATATATATATGTTTAACACTTGAACTTGCTTCCTTGCTTTCTTTTCACTGCTAATTCTCCTAGTAATTCTCACTAGTAATGACTGCTTTGCTGTGTCATTGAGAGCTCCATGCCAATATGGGTCTGAGATGTGTCAGAGCATGATCTTCAGGCAGGGTGATCCATGTGGGACAGTCCATTTCCCTAAGACTGATTCTTCAGGGCACAGTTCTGATTTCTCTTTGTCTCTTTTAAAGTATCTTAGAAACTCACTACTCTCTGTTAAACACATCTGTTGTCATTAGCTGTCCTCAGTGTGTCAGATAACAGCAGCAGCAGCCAATGAAAAGATAGTATAGCTAACATCAGTCTTTATTTCATTGACATCTTTATTAGTCTTTTAATTACATGGTTCTTCAGCAAGGTGATAGACATTATAAAAACTTCTGAATTGCAGCTGCCTTTTTAGGCAGATCTTGAGCCTCCCCCAGTCTACTCCCTAGCTTGGTTGTGCATTCCAGCCATATTTAGAGATCATCTGATGTCTGCCTGCCCCCTACAGTCCCCTTTACTTCCAGCCATTTCCAGCCATTTGAGCATTCTGTGACTTTTATTTAAAAGATGAGTCTGGCTGGGGGGCGGGGGGTGTACACCTTTAATCCTGGCACTTAGGAGGCAGAGGCAGGCAAATCTCTGTGAACAGAACATCCAAGGCTGCACAGAGAAACTCTGTCTCAAAAAAAAAAATCTGCAACAACAGAAGCTATTTGACTCTGACTAAAGAACATATTACCCTTAAGACTCAGTTTGACATTGCACACTATACACACACCTCCTTTGACCCAGCATATGACTACATAGCTCCTTCCCCCGCTCCTGCCATACCTGGCCCATCTTCCTCAGCCATCTACTGCTCTGTCTGACTCCTGGACAGTAAGATCCTTGACTTGAATTATCTGGTACTCACATGCAAAACAGCTAGCAAAATTGTTAGCTTATAGTAGAGACTCAATTAAAACATCTTGAAGGAATGCAAGAATTGTACTCATTCTGAAGTATTTGAAAATAGATCCAGAAAAAAAAATCCTGCATTGCCAGAGCCAGCCAGCAGAGTCAAACGGTTCTTGAGTCGGGAGTGAGGATTAAAATTAATAAAATAAACACACAGCACACAGGAAACTTTTTAAAGGTCCAGACTCGACAGCCACAGCAAAAGGCAGGCTGCTGCGCAAGTCTCAAGTCTCTGCCTCCTCCTCTGCCTCCAGCCCTCTGACCTCTTTATTTGTGAGGAGTTACTTTTAGCCAGTAAAACATCTCAGATCAATGGGTTAATTTTCACAGGGACCCTGAGAAAGAGGTGTGACCCTCACAAGCTATCCCACCTGCTGTCACAAACAAAAGGAGATGGACTTGCAAGTTCTTCTCTGCCATTAGTAAAGGCCTGCTAAAAGCCATCTCTCCGCCGAGATTTAAATATCAAAGCGGGCCGCTGGAGTCACAGCTCCCAACACTGCATTTTAGCTGTGTAGTGGTGGAATACACCTTTAATCCGAACACTCAAGAGGCAGGAGGATAGCTGTGAGTTTGAGGCTAGCCTGGTCTACAGAGTTAGTTCCAGAACAGACAGGGCTACACAGAGAACCCTTATTTCAAAAAACAAAATATACCTCTTAAAAGGAAAATCAGTATAAATCCTAAACCTCAGTCAGCCTGGGCTACAGAGTGAGACCTTGTCTCAAAAGAAAAAAGAAAAGAAAAAGAAAGAAAAGAAAAAAAAGAAAAGAGAGAGAGAGGGAAGATGAAAGGGGAGGGAGGGTGAAAAGGGAAGGAAGAAGAGAAGGAGAGAAGGAGGGAGGGAGGTTGAAAAGAATGGAAGGGAGAGAGGGAGGGAGAGAAGGAAAGAGGGAGGGAGAAAGGGAAGAAGGGAAGAAGGGAGGAGAGAAAGAGTCCCCAAAGCATGAAGGCCTCCTCCTGTTAAAGTTTTTCAGTTCCTTGCTTCCAATTATACTAATTTTCTCACATCGTTGCTCCATGAGCACTTCTGCAATCACTTACTAGTGTATTGCTCCGCTGAAAGTGTCATTAAGCATCTGCATAACTCTGAACTCTTGGGAAGTGTCACTTAGGTGGTTAAGAGCACTGCCCTTTTTAGGATTTTTTTTTTTTACATTTTTTTTATTTTATTAATCCTAAAAAAAAAAAAAAAAAGAGCACTGCCCTATAGAAGTGACATTGCTTTGGAGATGTTTTCTGTCATTGGACTTTGTTACTTGACAAGTTTTGATTCTACAAATAATGCTTAAGTGAATGTTTTTGCACTTCTAATTATTACTCCTTAGAGTGTTCTGGAAATAAAATTATTAGGTGAAAATTTTACTATGCTAATGGAAGAATGAAACAGAATAATGATCTCTGGAGACTGGGAAGGATAGTAAGGAGGGAGTTGGAAAGAATTTTAATAAGTGTTGGAGAGATTAGTTCTGGGTTTCTTAAAATAGGGTGGGGTCACTGTTGATTAAAACAATATGTGATACATTACAAAATGAGGAAAGCAATAAAAATCTCTAGATACAAAAAGGATTACTGTTTGAAGACAGAAACAGTTATTACCTTTGATTATTATACATGTTCACGTAGTATATAATACCATAATGTGCCATATGAAAGATGTACAAATAGTATGTCTCAGATTTAAAAGAATTTACATTTTTAAAAGCTTAAAAAGATTTACATTTCTGTTTGCAATGTTTCAACAAACCCGTCTCAGTATACTCTTAACTGTAACATTATCTTTTCTCAAAAGCAAAGATTACATTTGCAAAAAAGAATGCTTCATTTTGACTTCTACTTATTAGGTATCTGTATTATATTCTTCTGTGCCAGCTTTTCTGTTGGATTATCTTTCTTGATGACTTTCAAGGCTTTTGCTGTTTAGAACACAATCCTGTGACTGAGGAACTGGCAATCGTAAGAATCTGGGTTCCATCCCCAGCACCCACCTAGAAGCCAGGTGCAGTGGTATACGCTTACAGTCTCAACACAGGAATCGGGGGACAGAGGACAGAGACAGGACTCCCAGAGCCTGCTTTCCAGCCACTCTTGCCTAATCAACAAGATCCAGGGATCCCGTGTCAAATAAACAAGGTAGAAAGTAAGCAGGGAAGGCACTGGGTGGTGACCTCCTCCTCCAGGTGTGTCCACATGGTGTATGTGTACACATACACCGGACAGTGTAATTCTCTGTGGGGTGTTTGACATTCTCCCAGCTAATGTATGCCTTAAGCATTAATTTATGTCAATAGCATTTTCTAAAATTTAAGTTCAGTTCCATGAATTACTCAACGACTTTTCTTGCCCTGTCACATATATGAGATACACATTTTGCAACTCAGAAACACACTTTGTCATTGTCCCTTTTTCTGTTGCCTTGATAAAATACATTGACAAAAGCAGCTTGGTGAAGAAATGTTTTATTCAGCTTGGAAGTCCTGGTGATATCACTGTGGGGAAGTCAAGGCTGCAGGAAGCAGCTGGTCATAGCCACAGTCAAGAGCAGAGAGAGAATGCATGCTCATATTCAGTTCATCCTCCGCCCCCATACAGTTCCAGATTCCCAGGTGGAGAATGGTCTTACCCTCTGTAGACAACTTTTCCCGCCTCAATTAACAGTTAACTTGATCAAAATAATCTCCCAAAGATATGCCCACAGGCAAGGATGATCTACACAGTCCCTCCCTAAGACTCTCTTCCCAGGTGGCTGTAGATCATGTCAAGTAGACAATGAAAACTGATCATCACAACATAGACAATATATTTTCTTCTCCTCTATTAATTTTGCTGTTGTTATTGTTTTGGCCAGGGTAGTGCATTTGCTATTTTCTTATTTCTGTGACCAAGTATCTGACAAAACAAACTCAAGTCAAAAAGGAAGGGCCTTATTCTGGCTACAGTTTGAGGTTCAGTCATCACAGTGAGAAAGTTATGGCAGAAGAAATTTGAGGCAGGCAATCACATTGAGTCTGCAGTTAGAAGCAGAGGGATGAAGACTGCTGCTCAGGCAGCCTCCTCCCATTTATTCAGTTCAGGACCCCAGGCCATGGAAAGGTCACCACCAACGTCTACCTCTGTAATGAAGTTCAGACACTCCTACCCTGACATGTACAGAGGTTTGTCTCTTGGATGAATCTGGATTCTGTCAAGCTGGCAATCAGTATTAGCATCACGGAACAATTGGATTGTTTCTATTTTGGTTTTCCTTTTTTGAGATGTGGTCTCACCGAGCACCTCAGGCTAACCTCAAACTCACAGTCTTCTCTCCTCTGCCTCCACAGTGCTGAAATCACAGGCATGCACTACCATGGTGAGCCTCTATCAGATTACTTCTATAATGGGCTTACACTTAACTTTCTGATTCATTTAGAATTTATCTGGTGCTGTGTTTTGAGGTGAGGTTTGAATTAGAGTTTTTACAGAACAACCATTTTTTTTCCTAAGACTTTCTCACAGCTTTTAAAGAAATGCTAGTTAATGGGATGGGGAGATGGATCAGTGTTTTAAACTGCATACTGCTCTTCCAGAGGACACGAGTTCAGATGACAGCATCCACACTGGGGAATCTAAGGGATCCAATGTCTCTGGCCTCCACAGGCACCTGCACTCATGTGCACATATACACAAGCAGACCCACATGAAAATACACATCATACACTTAAAAGAATAAAAATAGATCTTAAAAAAAAAAAGAAGAAGAAACACCACTAGGAGCAATCCTACTAAAAAGGAAGCATCCACAGATTTAGCGTGATGTTGACCATGAACTTTGCCTTGTCCCCACCAGGTGATCAAGAGCCAGCAGTAAGCAGTGACTCCGACATTTCGTTGATTATGGCGCTGGAAGTGGGGCTGTCTGATGTAGAACTTTCCACTGACCAAGACTGTGAAGAGGTGAAATCCTGAGATGGTGGAAACAGGCAAAAGAAAACACAGGACACAGGGGGACAGGAAGGAAGCATGTTCTAAGCCTTGAACTGGATACAAGCTCTTCAGATCGCCATGGCGACCCTAGGGCACTCTGTTAGAGGGTGGTAAAGAAAGCAATATCCAAAGTCTCCCGGATCAGGATGCAGGTCCCAGTCTCTGCCACAGCCTGAGGCCTTGGTGTGGAAGTTGAAAGCTGGAGTCCTCTGTGTCCACGTAGACGCATGGCAGACCAGAAGGAGACATTTCACTTCTTCACTTCATGTCAGCTTCTCCTGTCTTTTTGTTCTTGTTTGGGGAGATGGTTTCATTCCCTTGGCAATTTCTTTCCAAAGATGATGTGTGCTTTCTATCTATTGCTCTATTTCCCTTTGATTCACTCCAGCTATGTACAGAGGTCTGTTTAGAAGTTCTGGTTGCTTCTCCAATGAGAGGTTTGTTCCACATCTCTGCGATTTGTAGACACGAGTTATCAGTATGAAGTGTGTATGACTTTGAGAATCACCTCAGCACCCTGAAATGCTGGAAGGCCAGAATTCATCAAGGGTTTAACTCCCTCCTCGGAGTGGGTCTTGGCGAGCCCAGCTGCCGGAGACAGCAACACTGAGTCCACTGCGCATTGTTCTCAGCTACATCTCCTAGGTTTCCCCTTGCTCTAGCCATGGCCACCCCTGCAGGAGAGAGCTTTCAGGGAGAAGTGAGCTCATCTTACTTGAGGGTCTGTTCCCCGCAGTGCATGAATGCCCGTGCTCAGAATGTGCGACTACAATCCTGGTTTAAAAACCTGACCCCATCTTCCCAGGGCAAGGAAGACTCCATCTCCCTGATTTCCCCAAGGCCTCAGCACTTTCTCACTTGCATAAGTGAGTTCTATGGTTACAGGCAGTAAAAAAGATGCAACAGTTTTCTTAGGCCGCTGGCATCCAGGTGTAAGCTTCAGATGCTGCTCTGTTAAACCCTCATGAGCCTACATGGAAAGAACTAAACTTAGCAGTCTGCACCTCAGGCTCTCCTGAGAGCATTTGGGTATCAAGAGAAGAATGAGGTATGACTTGAAAAAGTCTGAAACAAAAAAAATTACATCATGAGAAACTTCTAAATCAAGTTTTTCCTGATTGTGAGAAACAAGAGAAAAAGAGAAAAAAAAATTAGCAAATAAGTATCAAAACCCATGATTATTATGGGCTCTTATGATTTCATTCTTATTTTGTTCGAAACGATGACAAAAAAATACATACTTTTTTTCAAATGGACAGTTTTGTGATACATGCAGCAAGCTCAGAGACAGAGGTGGCCACCTGTGTCACTGGACAAACAGGAGGCTCTCCTCTCTCTAGCAGCTGGCTAGGTCACACAGAGCAGGGATTAACCAGGAGAGCTTGCTCTCCCCACTGAGCTGTATTTATGTATTTGATTTGGGCTTTTCCACCTCATTACACTAATATAATTCAAACTGGGCTTGGCTGATGTCTAAATCCTTGCTGCCCACTGGAATTTTGAGTTCAGGGTAATGGAATTCTCTACTGCTCTTTTTTTATTTTTTAACTACTGTTAATGGGTTCCTATTTGATGGTGTATGGGTAGACAGAAAGGCAGGAAGATGATAACAGCCTTCAGAAAAACCTCTTCTGTCTAGGGTCTAGCCCTTCCCATAATTAATGTCAGTTTCAAAGGGCTAAGAAGAGCCACAGCAAGAAAGTCATTAAGTGCTGAAACAGGATGTGTAAGTAAAATTAACTGTCACCTGTTTAAACTGATCTGTACTGGATCACTCACTTCTCCAGGGGGATCTGTTTGTGAAAACAGTTGTGTCATAAAGCAGATTTTTATATGAAGTCTAATGAAATTAGGGTAATTCAGCAACAAAAGAAATACAAATTACACTGTGTGCCCAGAAGGAGCTTTGGTGGGTGGTGTTTTCTGGCCATCAGTCAGGTAAGTCATTGATTACAAAAGCAAGCCCTTGGCCTGAGATCCTGTAGGATGCTGTGTGGGTGATGAAGGATCCAAGAGGTCCATCCATAGTGGGTGAATCTGACTCCAAGGTGATCCTATGGCAAACTCTCAGAGCCTACAAGTCTCCGCTTACCACAGGGTTTTGATATGACCGTGGGGCTGGCTTCCTGTGACCTTGACAGCAAAAGAAAGATTAACAAGAAAGTTTTTCTTTCAAAATAAATTGGAAAAGCTCTTACATAGACTTCTCTGACTTGAAGACTGAGTGATCCGCACATGACTGTGTGGCCTGGGAATGCAAAGTGAGCATGTATTTAAAGGAGTGTGTTTTTCTGCAGCAAGTGTCTGCACCAGCTCTGCAAACAGAAACACAATCCAAGTCACATACTTATTTTTTTAACTTCCCATTACCTGTAACATTTTTAAAAGCAAAAAAGAAACAGGTGAAGATAATTTAATATTTTATTTAACCAAATATTGTTTCCATGTGCAATTGATAAAGTATTAAGAAAATATTTTCCTCTTTTTGTTACATCTTCTAAATCCATTGTCTTTTACACACACAACACATCTCAACTTTTATTAGCCACAGTTCAAGCTTTCAGTAGCCACACGTGCCTAGTGGTCATCAGCTGGACAGTACAGCCTCAAAGATGTTCCAGAATCCTTGTAAGTGTTCTTCTGATTCTGACAGAAGAAAAAGGAGAATATTACCTCAGTTTCCCCCAAGAGAGAACCAGACTTTACCCAAGTCACCCAAGGAGAGGGCAAGAGGTATGCTTGTTCTATAGTTAATCGGGGTTCAAATAGCCTTCCTAAGCACTAGTGTCCACTACCACCAACTGTCACTTCTCTGATCAGTTGTTTGTTAAAATAAAACATCCAACAATGCTGATTTGGTGCTGAAATAAAATCACACCCTCACTTCTTTGACAAACCCTGAGACTCGTGTGCGACAGTTAGCCAAAGAGAATGTACCTCAACCCCTAGTTCCTCCTCCTCATGGCTGCCCAGTTCTAGAGAACTAGAACTCAGAGATGAGGAAAAGTGTAGGAAACTGCATGCTGACCCCACACACAATCTGTGTGACCTTATCAAGAAAGGATCTCTGAGGCTTTCAGCCATTTGGCCTCTGCTTGGCGAATAGTGAGCAGTTTTCTCTTCAGCATTGTCCACCATGCCAAGGCTGTGGGAAGAAAAGAGCCCTTGAATTCCCTCAAAGACACTTTCAAAATGGCTTCCTCCTGTGAGGTTGGTCATTCTGAAGTGTCAGTACCTCATGAATATAGCATTTGAACATCGACTAGCCCCTAGGGTTTGGTTGTGCCTTCAATATCAATTCTGATCACACAACCAACGGAGGGATACAGTATGGAGAAAGGTGATAAAATAATGGGGCAGCCAGGTAATAGTGGAGCATACCTCTAGTCCCAATACTCATAGGCAGGCCAATCTCTGTGATTTGGAGGCCAGTCTGGTCTACAAAGTGAGTTCCAGGACAGCCAGGGCTACACAGAGAAACCCTGCCTGGAGGGGAGGAGGAGAGATCATAGAGGCACCTAGTTATTCCAACACTGTTTCTGTCCAAAGAAGTTTGTTTGTTATTTTTGCTTTGGTATTTTTCTCATCTGTGGCTATTCATGGGTCTTGGTGTAGTCGTGTTAAGAATGCCTGTGCCCAGTAGCCATTTCCTTTACAACACAGACATCTTCCCTAGAGCTACCACACTTCCAGAAACAAGAAGGACGACAGATAGTCTGCCTAGGATTCTTGTTGTAAGCTTAGTTGGTGCTGAAATAAATTATAGGGCATAAGGATTTAATGGCATTTAATTGTCCACTGAATGAATATTCTTGGCTAAACACCATGGAAATTACCCCACATACACTTTCAGACATTTTAGGAAATAGTGTCACATCCTCTATGAAGAGAGTCCCAGCCTTCCGAGCTACTGAAGCCATTGAGGTGACTTCCTGTTGCATTCTTAACTTCTCCCTCATGGGTTTCTTCTTTGAACTCCTGTGTCACCCTGTGTTTTTAACTGTCTGTTTCTTTGTACACGTGCACACACACACACACACACACACACACACACTTTCCCTATCTTGCATCTCACTTCCTTTTTTTCTGTCTTTTTATTTCATCAGGTTCTCTTCTTACATGGAATGTTCTAATAGCAGCCACCTGCTGCTGCTCTCTTTCCTGGCTTCTTGCAGGAAGTCCCCTAAGCAAATACTAGCTAGTCAGGTTACAGTTCCAGAATACTGTAGAGATCTACTATCTTATAAAGCCAGAATCTATGACCTTGTAGGTCATTTGACCCCCAGGAGCAGGATTTGTGTGACCGTATCTGCTATCTATCCAGGCTCTGTATCACCTAACATTGGGACTCAGTTCTTAATACTGTCAAAGAGGAACAAAGGCGCTACCTGCTACCTGTTACTTGCTACCTGGCTTTCTTGAGCAGTACCTCTGTCCCTGCTAGGAGGGGTCTGAGGAGCAGGGTTGATGGATGATGTCTGCATTTCCCAGGTGAGGCAACCTTGAAGGACATCAAGAAGGAGGTAGGATCCCAGGTCAAGGTAGAGCAGTTAGGTGGAAAGTCTCTCTGAAAAGATGCCTCCTCTGGGGTTCAGAGCTACTTTGAGTCCCAAGGAGTGCAAGTTTTTAAAGAATTGAGTATTTGAGCCCAGTGTGGTGGTCCACACCTGTAATTCTAGCATTCTGGGAGGCAGGGACAGGAGGCTCTCTGTGAATTCGAGGCCAGCCTGGTCTACAAAGCTAGTCCAGGACAGCTGGGGCTATACAGGAAACCTTGTCTTGGAAAAAAAAATAACTCAATATTCATGAGTTTAAAATTTCTTGATTGCAAAGAAGATTGGAATAGCCTGAAAAATAAGTTAATTCTGAAGAGCAAGTCTTAGTTTCTCACTGCTTTGTAGCTCTTCTTTCTCCTACTTTGCTCCCAACATCAGACCTTCTGCAGTAGGGATGGTAGTATTTCAGTTCTGGTAGGCAGGGAACCACTTTGCTCCACTCTGAGCCTTTTGATGCTGTGGTGTTATCATCCCAGAACTGATGAAGTGAGTGCGGATCCATGTGGACTTTTAATTACGAAGCCCTTTTATCATATCAACTCCTTCTCTTGTAAGAGCCTCACCCACTCTCTCCCCTTTTTTGTGTCCATCATAATCAAGTGGCTTTTCAAGAACCTAAGTGGCCAGATCCTCTAGCACCACGGCACTATTGATAGCCATACTCACTGCAGAGTTGTTTGCTCTTTGGCCACTTGATATGTTTTTTATTGATGATAGTATGACGGGGATTTACTTCTCATAAGACCTCTATAGAGGCAGACAAAATCTACAGAGAAAAGAGAGAGAACTGAGTCACCCAAAGTCATTGCTGGGAAGAAAGTCTGTGGGTTAGTGCACACTTAGGCAAGCGGTGGCCTTGAAAAAGCATGGAAGGTATGAGGACCACATGTGCTAAATAAACCAAAGACTGATCGCCGCTCAAATGGACACATGTTCTTCCATGAACTCGCTCAATTTTCTCCCAGGGTTCTCAAAAGCAAAAGTCAAGATGGACTCCTTGAGGGCTGTGGCTTTTCAGGCCGCTGCTTTGTTCTGCTAAACCCGCAAATCTAAAATAAATGCACCGTGGCCTTAGTGACACACCATCTTTAAACTCTAGTGTTTAACCCCTTTTTTGTTCAGAACTTCCAGACAAATCTATTGAACTCATAATAGTTTTCTTTGAGCATGGGAAGATTTTTAAATAGCCAAAGAATTTTCATGTATAAGAGATGTCTCACTGTAGTAGATCCTGCTCTTTGAAGAAAATACCAAATTGTTGCCTGTAGAGACAGCATGTAAAGGTTGCTCAGCAATACAAATTTGTGTTGGCATCTTGGTACTTAAGGTTTGGTAGGATGTTTTGTGAGGAGGCAGAGCGCCCTCTGCTGGAACGAAGCCTAGGCTCTCTCAGCAAATTTCTTTGACACAGGTCTCCGTTTCGACATGTGTTTTACTTATTTTTCATCCATACCATTCCCTCAATAGCAGAGGATTTGGCCAACACTTATCAAATGAGGAGAGAATGTTATGAAGTCTAAAGAGCTGTAGGACACCTCCAAGCAGACCTGTTTTAAACCGTTGCTGTCCAGGAAGATGCCTCCGACGGGGACATGTGCAGAAATATCAGCAGGCAGAATGTGTGACTTTTGACTTAGACCCACTTCCCATTGTGAAATTGAAAAGGAAGATCAATAAAATTACTTTTTCCGTATGAATGTAAATGGTGTGAAATACTGACCTTTTTGTATGTCTACGGTATCAATCTACTCCGATTTCAGCTTACTAATAGGAAATGATTTTACCATTTTATAAATAAGAGATTTACAAGTGGGACAGGGAGGGGAGGGAGTGTTATTTTTATAGTGGACTGTCCATCATGTTTAGAAAACTTGAAATAATTTTGTATTTGTGAGATTACATTCTATCCATTGTGGGAAGGGGTTCTTTAAACCTCTCACTAGGTGGAAGAAAGAATTTTCTCATTTGCAGAATATCCTGAGTAAACGCACTTGTGTAACCTGCAGACCATAACCAGCAGTTGTCAATTCAAAAACAGGGGTAGGGCAACATTTGTTGTTGTTGTTACTCTCTTTGTCACACATTATTTGTGATTTAAAAGAAAAAACTCTACCAAGAAATGGATTTGCAAGTCTGAAATAATCAGGCACGGCGTCATAAGCCAGGTCTCAGCACCCCTACTCCCAAGAGCAAAGGGAAAATCCAATGTCTTTAATTTTCCTCCCTACCATGATTCGGTGATTCTGTTGTAAAAAGATGATGCCACGGTCAGCATTTTATTGAGCTGCCACAGTGTCATTTTGGCAGGTCTGTGGGCCACATGGGCCTCATAGTCCGAGGAGACAAGAGGGACTTTCCTTTATTTCCTTGCCATCTGATCCACAAATTACAGGAACCGGCTCTGGGTGGGTTTTGCATGGGGAACTTTGGACCTGGAGTTTGGTTCTGTTATGTGCTGAAAGTGGTGAGTTCTACAGCCGTGCTGCGAAGACATCATGACCCTGCAAAGAGAGTCCCCTGAATATCTACACGCCTGGTCAGGGCAGCATGGTTATTTTCTGTTTGTGGTTTGTTCATTTGTGTTTCTATATAAGTCTCTTTTCTTTCTCCCCACTGCCCGTATTCTACTCCTTTTAAGCACTTTATATCTTTTTAAATTAAAAGAAAATTGGAAGGAAAAATATTTGCTTTTAAAGGAATCCATCTTCTGTAAGGAAATACAGATTTTATTTTGCTTTAGTGTGCTTGGAGAGCATCTACAGTTTATCTGGTCCTGGGCTGGTGATGGAATGTTAAGGATGACAGTTGAAAACATTCAATTAGATATGATTATTTTCATTAT